GTGTTAATAATTTACCAGAAAAATCCCATCGACTCTCAGTGGATATTTGTTTATTTGTTTGACAGAGACGCTACTAGTAGATCTAGTAAATCATAGTCTAATTTTCAGCCTCTTTCCTGGTTGGAGCTAGCATTTTAATCATGAGCACAGAATATTTAAAGGTCCTGTATTACACAAAATTAATTCTGGTGAGCTGTAAGCCATGTTATAATGTGTTTATTTCAACAAAAACATACCTGGAGTTGTGTTTCATTCACACATGTTTGAATAATCCCTCATTATTAGTCTGACTACATCTCCATAGCTCAAAATGTTCTGCTCCACCTTGTGATGTCATGAAGCAGAAGTTGTCAACAGCTACCTTTTACATTTAGTTTAAGGCCCCATCCACACTAGTATGTATTCGAATCGTTTTCGTTCTGGATGCCGTGTTTGTCCACAATTATCGATTGAAAATGGCTCCAGAGATGGAACGATCTGTTGCCGCCAGCTTCCACAAATTAATTTGAGTACGGATCTGATCTGGCACTGTGTGGACACCTGAAAACGCTGATACGCTGATGTAGGTTTAAGTACCGCGAAGTAACTAATTCACTGCCTAAACGCTAAGAGGCTGGAATATATTCATATGTCTGTGTGTATGACCTGCAGATGTAGAATCTCTGAAAAATTTAACATGAACCATCTCCAACGTGACAGAAGCACAGAACAGACTCACCATCAGCAGAACACCCCTCTGTCACAGAAAGAACACATATAATCCACTGAGTCGTGTCCTTTAGTCCGACAGAAGCTGAACTGCATCAGCGCACAATAGTGAGCTGTTTTTTGAGCGCTCAGTTTATGCAAATTAGCCATGCGGTTTTAAGTTTTGTTTCTGTAAAACGTAAACACATGCTCAAAGCTGCGTGGATAAGAAAGGGTTTCAGACACAGAAACGACGTGTGTGGACGCAGATCGTTTCCGATACGGTGATACAGTGATACGCGGATTCGTTTCAGTGTAAATGGGGTCTAATAGAGAGGCAATTCCGGGCTGAAGTTATCCAAATGATTCAGCCTAAATATATAGAATTTGTGTGTTGAACATGTGTGAATGAAGCAAAACACAACTGCAGGTACGTTTGTGATGAGGAAACAACATTATAACACACAGAAAATAGCGTACTATGGGCCCTTTGAATTATCAATAATTCTGGCTTTAGATTCAGAAAAGCTACTCAGACATGCACGGTTACATTATGTTTCAGACCGAGTTGAACTTCCCTTTCACTGAAGATTATTGCTTCATGAGTCAGTTAAAAGACATTACCAACTTAATCTATACATTATGCTTTTGATTAATGATTAAACGTGATCCTATGATGTTAAATGTATTCATATTTCCCCTGCTGTTGTGGTGGATATTATGGGATGTCTCTGCTGAGTGCATTATAGTGAATAGTTCTGACCTGGATGCTGCTTTTATTGCTGTGGGATTAAGTGAGTTTTACAATCTATAAAACGCAGAAACAGACAGACAGGCGCATGTATACTAGACATATACAGCTCAGTAGTTCTTATGGTAATCAAAATGAATGGAACGCAATATTATCTTTTTGGTTCTGCTGCTTTTTCGTCTCCATGAAGATGCTGTACCTGGAATGTTTCACTGTGTGGCTTTAGAAATAAACCACCTGCCCAAACTACAGATACATTTAAAGGGCTCATATTACTCTGTTCTCTGCTCTATGTTTGTAATGTTTCTTTATCGAAAACATACCTGGAGTTGTGTTTTGTTTTATAATTCACACATGTTTAACATCATATCCTACAGATTTAGGTTGAGTTTTTCTCTCAAACAGAAAACACAGTTCCACCTTGTGATGTCATGTGGTAATACAGGAAGTGCTCCACTGTGTTTTTAAACTCCACACATCTTCACTAGCATCATTTGGCATCATAAGGCCTCTGCTTTGACTCTGTTTAAATCCAGGCTCAAAATGGTTCTGTTTAGCTGTGCATATGACTGAAAGATATTCACTCTCATTTATGAAATTTATGTCTCTCTCTCTTTTTAATTATATGATGATTATTTATGTTTTGGTTTGTTTTTATTGTGATTTTAATGTATTTCTTATTCTGTAAAGCGCTTTGAATTACTTTGTGTACGAATTGTGCTATACAAATAAACTTGCCTTGCCTTTGGATTCAAATTCAAATCCAAATCCACTTTTTTATCACATTTTACAAACAAAGCAGTTTCCAAAGTGCACAGGGATCATAAAATGAAGACAGCAAAAAGGTAAATTGTTAAAATTTGGTCATACCAGTCCTAAAACAATAAAAGCAATAAAAGCAGAAAACATAAAAATCACAAAATAGCAGTAAATAGTAAAATAAATAAAGATTATTTCAGTTCTGGAATTGCCAGTCTGTCCTGACCAAAAAGATAAAAAGTAGCTAATAATTAGAAAACTACCTCTTCATGACATCACAATGTGGAGCAGAGCATTTTGAGCACTGGGGATGTAGACAGATTAAAAATAAAGAGTTACTGAAATGTGTGAATGAAACAAAATGCAAATCCACATATGTTTTTGAGGAGGTAACAACATTATAACATGTCCCAAACCTCACAGGAGTTTAATGCCATAGTGTGGAAATTCCAGGCAAACCAATAACATCTCCATGGAGACAAGCAAGCGGTCAATTCCCCACCTTTTCCCCACCAATTCCCCACTTTTTATAACTCTCGAAATATAGTTTAAATTCATTCACTTCTTCTGCTTTAAAGTTGAGTTTTCAGATCCAGGAGTCAAATATAATGAGCGAGGAAAGACCAGGGACGTGCATTTGGAGCCAGAATCTGAAATCTGGATTCCACTTTCAAGTTCACACCTTAAATTGAGTCGTGTCTGACAGAAATTGGCCTCACACATTTTCACACACTTGTGACTTAACAAAAAGCCATCCAAATTTGTCAACCATCTACTCGGACAGGCTAAGAATTATCTGTAAAATCTGTGAAATAAAATGTATTATGATAGGGTCAATTTCTGCATAAATATATAGACAAGACCAGTTTATTAGTATAGCACAATAGGTACACAAACTAATTCAAAATGTAATTCAGAATAAGAGAGATATTAAAGGTGCACTATGTAACTTTGTGGTTGGGGGTCTGTCACCTGCTTGTTTCTATGATATGTCACTGCTGTGTCTGGAATGTTCCACAGTATGACTTTAAACAGTTCTACTTTACATTTATTCAATGACAGGTGGTTTGACTGCACAAAAATACTTAGAAAAACAAGCATTTTTACTGTGACTCCACAGATCTGACCTGTAACTTGGTCTGGTTTGGTCTCCTTGAAAATAGAATGGTTGAATGCCAAACTGCAGACATGTCAAACTCGGCCCGCAAAATAATTATATTTGGCCCACGAGATCATACCAAGTATATCAAATATTGGTCTGGTTTTGTCTCTAAGCTAGAAAGGTTTAATGCCATGCTGTGAAAAATTTCGGACAAAGCAATAGCATCTCCATAGAGAAAAGCATTTCACAGACCCTCCACCATAAAAGTTACACAATGCATCTTTAAACTGACATATGTTGAAAATGACAAACTGTCATCAAGTTTTAAAACATGTAATTGATTAAATGTTTGTTGTTTCAGTTAAAGTGACCTGTAACAAAAAGAGCAATAGTACATTTGCCAATTGATTGTAATTTTATTATTATTATATTTTTTTGTACTTACCCTCTTTTGTGTCTGCCATCTTAGGTGTTCCATGTGCATTAAACACCTGCACTTTACATTTATTACATTACAAGTTTTATAGCTCAAAAATATCTAGAAAAACAGATGTTCTAACTGTGGGTGTGTGGTTTGGTCTCCTTGAAAATAGAAAGGTTGAATGCCATACTGCAAACATGTCAAACTCAGGCCCAGGGGCCAAACTTGGCACACAGTATAAGTATATTTGGCCCACGAGATCATATCAAATATATTAGCCGGCTACAGATAGTCTATAGAGACATTATTTATTTAAAATTTTGTTATTATTTTGTATAATGCTTGTTCTGGATTGAGTGTTTAAGCAAAATTGTTATTAAACATTTATTTTAATAAGAAAATGTTTAACATTACATATCTCAAAAGAAGAGAAAACATGCAGATGTTGTTGAAATTTTTCAGTAAATATGTAGTTTGGCCCATGACTTAGTCTCAGTTTTTAATTTTGGCTCTCTGTGCATTTGAGCTTGACACCCCTGCCATACTGTGAAACATTTCAGCCAAAGCGATAACAATGCACCTTTAAAATCATAATACAAACACATCAAAACATAAATAATCATCATGAAGTTAACATTAAAAGAGAAGAGAGCAGAATAAAGACCTTTCAGTCATATCCACAGCTGAGCCATTGTCTCATATATATGACGTAACAATTCTATTAATGTAAATCATGTAAATTGAGTTTTCATTCTTTGTTTTTGGGCTGAATATTTGAAAACACCAGTTATTATTTTCAGAATAATTTTGGAAGCCTATCAGAATTAAAAGCAGGTTTGGGTCCTGGAACCAGAGAAGGCTGAATTTGAACAAGAATATGAAATGATGACAACTATGAAAAAATAAAAAAATAAAAATAATGACATGAAAAAATGTGAAAATAAAAAAAGTATAACAATATAATTCAAATTTTATCAGCTGAATTAATTTAGAATAAATTTCCAACACAATTAAACTGTTCACCTCCGAGGCTTTTGTGTGGCTTTGCCCATCTCCCTGCGCCTCTTCTGGACCGTTACAGTAAGAAAGATTTATTTAAATGTGTCAGAAGTTGGAGCTTAGCTGGGACTGTCAGAGTGTATTCAGGAGAAAACCTCGGCATAAGGGCTGTTTTCAGGAATGGAAATGAATGAATATATTAATACATTGTCTTACACTAAACCTGACCAGAGCCGCACGGACTGAATTTAATTTCCATTTTTGTGTTTCCCTCCATACAGAAACCTGCTGGACGTGGACACCTTTTCCAAGTCAGACCCAGGTATGGACATCTCACTTACTGTCATGTAGCTTTGGGAAGTGTTTGAATAAAAGTCTAATATTGTTAAAGGTGCAGGTGTTAAAGCCTTGCATTGCTAGTGGAGGGTCCGCCACCTGCTTGTCTACATGGAATTGCTATAGTTTAGTTTTTCCCGGGTGAGCTACCTTTGCAAAACCAAAATTCCAAAGAGCTACCCATTTTAGTGGTCGCAGGACATAAAGTATACACAAGAGCCATGGCAAGACTTACGTAGATGAGGTATAGTTAGATAAAGCATTAAACATAAAACATTATTTATTTATGAGCGCACAAAGTCAGGCATCAAATTAACACATTTACAATAAGAATAGGCATTTAATTCATTAAATTTGAGTTATTCAGGACAATATGTGTAATTCAGAAATCCCATGGCGAGCTACTTGGAAGGGGGTGGAGAGTTGCTGGTAGCTCCTGAGCTGCAGGTTGGAGAACACAGTCTAAAATGTTCCACAGTGTAGATTAAACCTATATATCAGTTTACAGTCGCAAGCAGGTTATAGCTAGCCAGGCTGGTGTTACCTAGTGCTTCCACTCAGTTTCATTTCTCTCCTGCGACTAGGTCAGGAATCTTAATACACAAGACGGTTCGCAAAAACCCCCGGAAGTGCGAGTTCAGGCACCAGCCAATCAGCGAAGAGCCATACATTCTGTGTTGGCAACAATTCCCGAGATCGAGGATTTAAAGCCAGAACAAAGAATGTTTGGTGAATTTTATGAAGAGGAAAGACGTTATTGCCCTTCTTCCTACGAGATTTGGGAAAAGCTTAATATACCAGTTCACCCCGTTAGCGACGCATTACATACGTCAAGACCAAATAGCAGTGATTGGTTAAATTTAAAAAAAAGTACCCGCCTATCGTCAAGTGAACGAATCCTAATGCTGCAAGGTCAGACAGTTTCTACGAAGTGAAACCGGCTGATGAAACAGGCTAGGTTACAGCACTACATTACAATTCAGATCTGTGGAGAGTTGCCCATATTCACAAAAGAAATGACTGTATTTTTGAGCAATAAAAACACCCCTATGAAAAAAAAATGCTAGATGGAAATGTTTAAAGTCATGTCATGGAGCATTTTAGGGAAAGAAATAACATCTCCATGGAAACAAGCAGGTAGCGGACTCTCCACCTGTGCACCTTTAAAAATAAAGCCTCACACGAAATACACATAAACGAAATATGGACCTCAAGAGTGACTGCCTGCTTTGGTTCTGGAAGTCAATTTTCCATTCATTTTTTCCGAAGTCTTTTTGCAAAATTCAAATATTAAGAGTTTTAAACCAAACTAACCAGCTCTGTGCTCACTTATATCCATAGTGGGGTTGTTTAAAGCTCAAAAAGCACATTTAACACAAGATTTTTTGATGATTTGTGATATTATTGTGATGTTTTAATGTACTTTTCAGCTCAATAAGTTTAGTTAAATAAAAAATAAATGCCATATGTCCATAGACTGTATATATAAATGGACAAAGCTAATGTACAAAGTGAACATGAGCGCACTTCCGGTTCCTCCAACTCTACTTCCATTTGACTTTACTTTTTTTTTTTAAATGTCACCCTTCTCTCTGTAACTGCTGCAGTGAGTTTCTTTAATTTTCATATTAACCCGCTCTACAGGATCCTGGTGTTTTTATTTCACTACTTTGTCCGAAAATAAATCCTAATCCTAATATGGAACTTGGCTTTAAATTCAATTTATAACCTCTAGCCTTGTGAGCTTCATTTGACTGGAGCTAAACGCTATGGGTGATGTCACGCTCGCTCAGTCTATGTTTATGTTATTATGGAAATTGTGAGCTTCTATTGTGTCCCAGGTATAAGATGCTTGACATTGAACCAGTTGAAATATTATTGCCTAAAATGTTTTGTGAATACTTCTGTTTCGTATGTTTACTTGTTATTTTATCAGTAACTAGGGATGTAACAATAACCAAAATACTGTGATATCGTATCATCAAAGTTCTCACAATAATATCGTGGACCATCACAATATATCAAATTACAAGTCTCTTTGCATAAATTAAGAGTTATGTTGCAGCAACAGATAAAAAAAGACTACATAGACCATGATTTTTGCTCCATTTCAAGAAATAACAGTTCTAAGCACTTTTAAGACTTAGTTCTTTGGATTAAATCTTGTCAAGGCATTTTAGGAGGAAAAAGTATCATATTAACAGTTTTGTTTGCCTCCACAAAACATCGCAATAAATATACCGTGAGATATATATCGTGAAAATATCGAGAGATTTGGATATTGTTACATCCCTAATCATGAGCCTCCCCACCATATCCCACAATATCGCAATAAATATCGTACTGTGAGTTTCATACTGTGACCATATCGTATCGTGAGACTTGGATATCATTACATCCCTATCAGTAACATATTCGTACATTCACTGCAAGAAACAGAATCTAGTCAAGTTCAGATGACTTGAATTAAGAAAGTTTTATCATAATTAGAGTAAATTTCACTTGACAAGTAAAAATATCTGCCAGTGGATAATATGAGAATGCATCTTGCTACACTTAAAATAAGAAAAACAAAAACTTTTTGCACTTAAAATATGAAACAAAATCAAATGTTGCTTGAATTAAGAAAAACACACTTATCGACTCAGATAAAGTAAAATGTTCTTAATTAAGTCATTTTAACTTAGCTGGATATTGTTGAACTGCTGTGGAATCTGATGTGGACTTTTTAGTTGTTGCTGGGTGTTAATTTCAACTTTTTATGGAACTTTTGTGTGACACATTTCATTGGTGAAGGAGTATGCAATATTAAAATAAAGTAATTAAGCAAAAGTTCAGCAGGTTTCAAGATGAAGTAAATAATACAATCATGTAATTAACTTGGGTATAGTAGTGGCTTTGTTAAAACAGATTGTGATTACTTGAAGATACAAATGCAGAAGACCTTTATTACCTTTTACCTGGAATACTGCTAACAATAGAGCGTCCACGAGTGAAGGGCTACGATTCAGCTTCCAATTGCAATTTTCCAGAGAGAAGGAGGTCACAATTCTACTTCGGCAAAGCTAAAACCACAGGGCAGAAGTTAGTTGGGAAGCTAACAAGGAGTGTGTCAAAGAGGGAAACAAGAGGGAGCTTTTGTAGTGCGACTGGTGATTGGCAGGAGAATAGAGCAATATGAAGCAACATACCTTATACTGTACTCAAGGCAGTTCCTAGCCTATCTACAGTTTTCAGAATGATGGAAAATTCGGACTTTTGCCATCGTGATTATCAATTTTAAGGGTGTACTATGCAACTTTTAGTTTGGTCTGCTTGTTGTCGTATGGCATTAAACAGTTCTACCTTTTACAGGTGGGTTTATAGCTTAAAAATACCTAGAAAAACAGGCAGGTATTCTGACTGTGAGTGGGGTTGCCTTTCCACAGATCTGACCTGTAACTTGGTCTAGTTTGGGCTCCGTGAAGATAGAAAGGTTTAATGCCATACTGTGAAACATTCCAGACAAAGCAATTACATATCCACGAAAATCCGTGTATTATTCGTTCATTCATTTTTCAAAATAAAACCAAAAATAAGAAAATGAAAAAAAAACACTATTTTTTTCATTATTTGTCTCCAAAACCAAAATGAAAAAACGACAGATAACAGATAACAATTCGTTTTTTCAGTTTTTGATTTTGAGTTTAAATGAATAACTAAAAAAATGGATAGTGGCTAAACCAGGACTAAACCAGGATTGATCGCAGGACTAAACCAGGACTAAACCAGGACTAAACCAGGATTGATCCCAGGACTAACCCAGGACTGAACCAGGACTGAGTGATGGGACGGGTCCAGAGGTGCGTCCCCATAGACCGTTGGGTGAAAGAACCGGTGCTGGTTTAGACCTGGTTTAGACCTGGTTTAGTCCTGGTTTATTCTTGGTTTAGTCCTGCTTTAGTGACAGTTTAGTCCTGGTTCAGTCCTGTTTTAGTTCTGGTTCAGTTCTGGTTCAGTCCTGGTTCAGTCTGTATGCAGCGCAAACGTCCGGCATCGCAGTTATGGAATCTCCGTTATCCATTTTTTTATTGTTCATTTAAACACAAAATCGAAAACTTTGGTTTTGGAGACAAATAATGAAGAAAATTTTTGTTTTTTCATTTTCTTATTTTTGGTTTTATTTTGAAAAACAAATGAACGAATGATACACAGATTCATGAATAAAAGCAGTTGACAGAGCCTCCACCAGAAAAGTTACACAATTCATCTTTAAACAAAATATTATGTTAATGGGAAAAGTCATATAACATGAAACTGAAACCCACAAATACCAACAGATTTACAATTCAGAGTCTGACACTGTAAACAATAATAATGGTCTTAAAAGGTTGTAATTCCATTGTTGCTTTCCCTGAAATGTTCCACAGTACAGCTTTATGCATAACTCTATTTATTCTGTTGTAGATGTTTTTATGGCCCAGAGAATATTATAAAAAAATCATGCACTTTGTCACCTCTCCACAGATTTAGCCATCACATACTTGTCATCATAAAGCTAAGTTTAATGCTTTGTAGTGGAACATTTACAGGAAAAGTAATGACATCTCCATGGAGACAACACTGTGCCGGAGTTACACAGTGCCCCTTTAAATTCTCTGGGGGTTCCTACTCGCAGTGCATTCTCCAGTAAGACTAAAAAGAATCCAATATAATAAATTGTGCCTGCTCTATGGACATTTCCGCTGCCAAATTAGAAGGTCAAAGCTATCAATGGCTGACACCTGCGCTGATAAAATACCGGGATGAGATGGGGCATGCGAGATTAAAAAACAAAACGCACGAGAGAAAGAGAGAGAAAGAGAGAGAGAGAGAGAGAGAGAGAGAGAGAGAGAAAGAGAGAGAGCTGTATCAATGTCATGTGAAGGTCAGAAGAGGGGCTGGAGTTAGATTTAATGTGGTGTGGTTGGAGATGACAGGCACAGAATTAGAGGGATGAGGAGCGTA